AGGAAGTAGGGATCGTGGGATAGTTAGTTTAGTGAGGGGAAGTTGGTGGAATCGAGCATAACGTCGGAGAGAGAGAAGGGCACGGCATCGAGAGAGAGACGTTATGCCTGATTCAGTGTACAGGCTCTCAACTGGAGAGGAGCGGAAGGCACCTAGGTCTATGTGAAGACCACAGTGATGGATTGTATCAAGATGGGCAAGGAGAGAAGTTGAGGCAGAGGAGTAGATATGGCATCCATAATCGAGAGTGGAAAGGATGAAGGTAACATGAAGATGAAGGAGAGTTTTGCGATCTGAGCCCCAGGATATATGGGATAGAATTTGTAAGATTCGGAGACGGCGGCGAGCTTTTTCTTTAATGTAAAGAATATGGTCTCGCCAGGACAGTTTGGAGTCAAAAATGACGCCTTGGAATTTGCCAGAGGAACGGTATCGGAGTGGAGTGCCATATAAGAAGAGTGGAGGAAGCTGACCTACACGCGTGCGAGAGAAAAGGATGGAGAAAGATTTGGAGGTAGAAAATCGGAAGCCATGGTTTGTGGCCCAGGAAGATACTGATGATATTGCAGATTGAAGAAATTGGTAGAGATTTGGTATGGATGTACCTATTTGAATTGTAAACCAAGACATTAATTTAATAAATAAAAAAAACAATATTTCAAACAAGAACAACCCTACAACAAATTATACATTTCTTGGTTCTGTGATTTATATAATTTAATACTGTAAATTATTCTAGAGTTTCATCAGATAACTTTGCTTTTGGTGTTTTATGTCCTTCATGTCTTTTTTCAAATAATGTCGGAAGATCTCTAAGTGTGTTTCTTTTCTGAGTCTTTGTTTTCACTTATTTTGGTATTATGTTTTAATTATGAAATTCGGACTGGCACATTTTGATCTTCTTTTCCTTTTTTCTTGGCACAATTTCAATATATAGGCTCTTATTCATTCCTCAGGTAATCATTTTGACTAGTATCTTTGATTGGGAGTCTCGTCTGAATTTAGGCGAGGGATCGGCAGCCTCACGGCCCGCGAGCCAAAGCTGGTCACTCGAAATGATCTGGCCGAGGTCATCTTGCTTTTCACCCAGCTTGCCGCCTGATCTTAACAACCCGAACCAAGGTCACTCCAGGTATGAACCAGAACTAGTTAGATCCTAGTTGCACATTCCTTTTAGTGGGTCGTATGGTACGATTGGTTTAGCACGAGTCCTCCGCTTTATACCTGGAGATTCGAGTCCTAGTCAGGGAGTGTTGTTATTCATCGATATCAATGCGGCATTGCATTATTCCATCTTTCATAAATATACCTCAGTACATTTGACTTGATTTGATTTGACACACACACACACACACACACACACACACACACACACACACACACACACACACACACACACACACACACACACACACACACACACACACACACACGTGTGTACGTGTATCTCCGAGTATGTGTGTGTAAGATATATAGTTTGTGATGCACACTCGAAGCATCTCGAACGAAGTAATTTCTCAGTGTGTGTGAAAGTCGAGATGAAGGTAAGGAGAGCTATGAGAAAGGTAAAGGCTTGGAAAGGTTTGAGTGCGCATTAGGTGGGGCGATCAGAGTTGAGAAGGATAAGGTCAGTAATAGAAAGAAACCGATCTAGAGAACGGCATCGGGAAGTAGTGGTAGAGTCACCCCAAAGAGTGTGGCGACAATTGAAATCGCCGACTATAAGGAATGGTGGTTGAAGTTGAGAAAGTAAAGTTTCGAAGGCATCGAAGTCAATGGGAAAAGGAGAAAGTAAACTAAAGCAACGGCGAAGAAGGATGCGTATAATTGTGCAAGGGCCTACTTTGAATCTGAGAATTGCTACCTTAGACTCAAACTTGTAGGCAGGGCAATTCCTATTAAATACATTATGGGAGCCACCGCAATAAGCACATATACGTGACTGTGCAGAGCAGTTTGAATGGTCATGACCAGGTTGGGCACATAGAGAGCAGCGGGCTGTGGAGCGACAGTGCTTTGCACGGTGGCCAAAATGCCAACATTTCTGACGTTGACAGGGTGGGGGTTGATATGATCTGACGGGGCAAGATTCTTCTCCTATATAGACCTTATGGGCAAGGTTATGTCTACAGAAGGTAATCTTGGCAATATTGATGTAGGACTCTACCCCCGACACGGTACTGATACCAATCAGACAGGGAAGTACGTCAGTCAGCTCTATTAAAGCACCAGCGTGGGGGGTTGGGAAGTGGTATATATGAAGTAGGAGAAAGGACTGAAAAGGTGTCACTAAAGGGGAAATGGTCTAGAAGTGACCAATGAAAATCTAAATGGAGAGAAGGGAAGCACAGAGAGAAGTCAAGGCATGAAAAAGATTGCGTGCGCATGTCAAGGTGTGTGGGGCGATCTGAATTAAAATTAATAAGGTCATTTGTGGAGAGGAAGCATTCTAGGGATCGGCCACGGGAGGTAGTGATAGAATCACCCCAAAGAGAGTGACGGCAGTTAAAATCCAACTACGAGGAAAGGTGGCTGGAGTTGGGAAATCAGAGTTTCAAAGGCAACAAGGGGAGAAGTACTGAAATAACTAGCGACGAAGAAAGGTGCGAATAGTTGTGCAAGGGACAGTGGTTTGAAAGGGAGGTATAACATAAAGTGTTTTCTGATGGATAAGTATAGATGAGACATAAAGGGAGTCTGAGGCAGAGACAAAATGGTATTTAGGAATTGGTATCGGAGGATGTGTAAGATAAGTCTCTTGGAGGCAGATAACGGATGGGGTATGAGAAGATATGACGAAGGTCAGGCCTGTGAGAACGGAAACCGCGAATGTTCCAGTTTAGGAGAGCAATTACTTACGCTTAGTCTGCCTGCTGTGGGTAGTGCGGGGAGGGAAAGGGGGAGATGTTGGGGCTGCCGTAGAGATTGGAATGTCTGTATTTAGAATGGCAAAATAATTTGATTGGGGGAGGTAGGAGTTAGAAATGGGGAAGTATGATGGAGGAGGGATAGGTATAGGAGAGAGTGTAGGAATATCTTGAGAGCAACCTTATTGGACGTGTCTCCTGTCTGGCTTCACGCAGAGTGAGACCAAGTCTGAATCTCAGAGTTGCCACCTCAGACGCAAAACTTGTAGGTGGGGAAGCCCCTACGAAATATATTATGGGCTCCGCCACAGCTGGCACATGTACGTAACTATGCAGAGCAATCTGATCAGTTATAACCAGGCTGGGTACATAGATGGCATCAGGCTGTGGAACGGCAGTGTTTGGCTGGATGCCCTAAACGCCAACTATTTTGACACTGATGAGGATGAGGTTGATATGGTAAGACAGAGAGGGCTTGAAAAAATAATTTTTGCCCTGCAAATCACGAAAAAGAAAATGCTCACTAGCTCTTTGAATACTTATCGGCTATTGAGGCAGATTCCGTAAGAGAAAATTTGCCCTGCAGAACTAGATTTTGCCCTGCAAAAAGAGGCTTTTTTTAAGAGTTGGGGGTTGAACCACCACCCCCATACCCCTCCGTAAGTGACGCCCCTGATTGAGGGTTGGATGAGGTTCTGTACGAATGGGGTTGCCAGAGAGAGTTATGGTTGATAATGCTATTGCTTGGGCTTTGGATGTAACTGTGACAAAACGGGAACGATCGGGTCGGTTATGTAAAAGGGCAAGCCTTGACGATTAACTAAGGGAATATCGTGCCCATAACTCTCGGAGGCCGTTCATGACTGAAACAAAGTCAGCTTTTCATCCTTTCAGCCCGGCTCTCGCACCTCCGGCGAGCGCTGAGGTCCAAGGTATGGGTAATCCCCTTCTTTAGGCCCGAGTCTCCGTCTCCAACCCCCCCACGAGAGAACGAGAGGGCGGAGGTAGGGAGGGAGAGGCAGAGGGAAAAAGAGAGGGTGAGGGTGAGGGAGAGATAGAGAGAGAGGGAGAAGGTGGGAGGGAGAGGGAGAGGAGCGAGAGGGAGAGGAGCGAGAGGGAGAGGAGCGAGAGGGAGAGAAGCGAGAGAGAGGAGAGAGGAGAGAGAGAGAGAGAGAGAGAGAGAGAGAGAGAGAGAGAGAGAGAGAGAGAGAGAGAGAGAGAGAGAGAGAGAGAGAGAGAGAGAGAGCGAGAGCGAGAGAGAGAGGGAAGAGAGAGAGAGAGAGAGAGAGAGAGAGAGAGAGAGGGAAAGAGAGCGAGAGCGAGAGAGAGAGGGAAAGAGAGCGAGAGCGAGAGAGAGAGGGAAAGAGAGCGAGAGCGAGAGAGAGAGGGAAAGAGAGCGAGAGCGAGAGAGAGAGGGAAAGAGAGCGAGAGCGAGAGAGAGGGGGAAAGAGAGCGAGAGCGAGAGAGAGAGGGAAAGAGAGCGAGAGCGAGAGAGAGAGGGAAAGAGAGCGAGAGCGAGAGAGAGAGGGAAAGAGAGCGAGAGCGAGAGAGAGAGGGAAAGAGAGCGAGAGCGAGAGAGAGAGGGAAAGAGAGCGAGAGCGAGAGAGAGGGAAGAGAGCGAGAGCGAGAGAGAGGGAAAGAGAGCGAGAGCGAGAGAGAGAAGGGAAAGAGAGCTGAGAGCGAGAGAGAGAGGGAAAGAGAGCTGAGAGCGAGAGAGAGAGGGAAAGAGAGCGAGAGCGAGAGAGAGAGGGAAAGAGAGCGAGAGCGAGAGAGAGAGAGGGAAAGAGAGCGAGAGCGAGAGAGAGAGGGAAAGAGAGAGAGAGCGAGAGAGAGAGGGAAAGAGAGAGAGAGCGAGAGAGAGAGGGAAAGAGAGAGAGAGCGAGAGAGAGAGAGAAAGAGAGAGAGAGAGAGAGAGAGAGAGAGAGAGAGAGAGAGAGCGAGAGAGAGAGCGAGAGAGAGAGAGAGAGAGAGAGAGAGAGAGAGAGAGAGAGAGAGAGAGAGAGAGAGAGAGAGAGAGAGAGAGAGAGAGAGAGAGAGAGAGAGAGAGAGAGAGAGAGAGAGGTGGGTGGGATGAATCATTAGTTTCCTAGTCAAGTAAAAAAAAAATCAGGTGAAGGATATAAACCACAAAACTTTCCCGTATTTCTGTCAAACTTTATTGTTTCTTGAACACAAAGAACTTGCACATACAACTGCTCTGAAGGTTAGGAATAAACATAATACAAACATGTCAGCAGAATATGCCGAGGAGGAGAGAAAGAAAGCTCCAGGATTTCTCATGAAGAGTTCTTGGGATCGCATTGTAATCACTTGAAAATAAAATTGTAAACCTACAGTGTAAAGCCAAATGTGACACATGAAGCTCCTGGGGCCTACATTCCCTATGGAGGCCAGGCAGGTTAGGTATATGATGCAGTCAAGATCCAAAATGGCTCTGCATTGAGTAAAACTCACATAATGTCGACAGACACAAAGTCCAGACTCGGCATTTGGGTTTCCTCCACATTAAAAAACTCATGAGGAATCACAGTGATCTGGCTGGATTATATCACAGCAACATTGGTTCCTCAGGTGTGATGTGATTTTATTTTGATTCAGAAGAGATTTTGTCTGAGTCATCAAACCAAGCTCTGGCTGCCCTCCACCTCCCTGCGGCTGGAGGGAGGGATAATATATATGACTAGGAAAAAGCTACAATTTACAGCTGTTGCATATGGGGTCTCTACGAGTCATACCAACTTGTTAGCTTGAGAGGAGTCGTAGGACGTCATTCTAATGCAAATAGAATAACTGTTACTATTTGAAGCTTACAAAAAATAATAAAAAATAATAATGATAGTGATAATGTTGACAATCATAGGAATAATGATAATAAATATAATCAATAAAAGAAGAGTAAAATACATAAAGTAAAAACAGTAATTAACTGCAAATTGACATAATACAGTAATTGACATGACATTGGTTGTGATCTTGACTAATCACAAATTATTGCAGTTTTATGATTTAAAAAATCACTATGAACTTTACTTGTTTTAAAACATTTGAGTATTAGCAAAGAAAGCCCAAAATTCTTCCAGGTGTATCTAAATTCATCATACATACAAGTAAAAAGAAAATGAAAGTACGGGACACAGTTACAATATTCAAAAAGATCTGTGTATAAGAAAATGCCTGCAGAATCATATATGTACAAAAGAGCTGACACTTAGGATCTTAGGGGCAGGGCCAGGGATCAGTGTTATAAGTGACTTTGGATTTGAATAACTAATTTTCTTACAACTAAACCCCCAAGTTCCCTTGCTTCACAGACGCTATGATGCACATATTGGCACCTCCATTTCTTCAGCAAACTAAAAACAAATCACATTCCATGTTCGAACAATTAAAGTTCAAAATTGGAGATCTCGTTCCTTACCAACTAAAAATATAAAATATTTCTTGACTATTTTACAAACTTTATACAACATTATAGTACACAACATATGCTCTTCTAGCAATGCGTTGGCTCAATAAATAAAAATGATATAAAACAATTACGCTATGCTGTCCTCCGTGCTCAAGGCATTTGCAGATTTCTTTGTGACTTTCAAGTAGTAAACTAAAGAGAAAGACTGGCATCCTACTCCAAAAACATTTCCTTTTTTAGGTTTTAGCAAAATGGAATTTTTGATTGTTGCCTTCTCAACAGTTTACACCAAGGTTGCGAAGAGTATGTATGTGTATTGGTTATACGTAACTGTCCAGCTGTATATAGCATACACAGCATCTTTGAGTTGAAAGTTTCCCAAACAGTCATGGGAAGTTGCTGGAGAATATGCCGCTGATTATGATAGTAATGGTAATAGAAGACATATATCAAAGTAATTGTGAGACTACATCAGTAAGAAAATAAGACACGTCTCTTGAGGTCTGTCAGGGAATTTGCCACAAAGCAAAACAACAGCTGTGGGAGCATTTGGACTTGCCGAGGGGGAGGGCTCGATTTTGCCAACAGTGACCTAGCCTCCTTGACCAACCAACCGCACCTTGCTGTGACATAGAAAAATAATAATAAAAATCTGCACCAAAGAAGGAATAAATCGTGCTTCAAAAAAAATAATAATTTGCGCATACAATATGAGAACAAACTGTCGGTAGCCTTTCTCTTTCAGAAACTCCTCATTTGTCCCTCTCCATCACACCTTTTTTCTTTCTAAGTTAACCTTCAGTGTCATCTGTCCTGTGGCCTTCCTCCAAAAAGCCCTAATGCTTCCACTGCGCTGCCCTGGACGATTGCTTGATTCTCGGAACTGTCGATGAGGCAGTGAAAGTGGTCGCCCTGAGGCTTCATCAGAAAATTAAAAATCCCCTGTAACCGAAAGGTCTAAAAGCAGACACCTACGCACGCACCGTTCACGACGAAAAATGCAGCAACTGAAAACTGCAAATCGAAGACCACTTTTTTGGAAGCTACTTGAAATGATTGGCTAAAAACTTTATGCAAGCTGAATTACATCTTAATAGGAACAATTCTAATGGCAAACGCCCTGACATGGAACCTTAACTGAGAGGGTGTGGAATGTGAAGACCAGTGGCCCACTCTGGCACAAGGGATGTGGACCACTTTACCACATCGTCTCCCTCCCCTTTCCAAAATACAAGAATCCAAAATTATCACACACGGAACTTCCCTAGGAATACTCACACCTTCCTTCCTCCATCTTTGGGACTTAGATTCTACTTTTTTTTTTTCCTTCTATAATTATTATGAAGTGTGATGTATGAAAATATCTAGCTAAACGGTTAAGGATGTTTTTTTGATTGTTACTCATTAGTTTGACAGTAACAATACAGCTAGTAACACATTCTTATATCAGTGAGTTGTATTGCTTGGTGCTTTTGTAGAAACTTCTTTCTAATACTAAACAGGATCTACAAAAAATTTTGATTATCTAGTCATCACACACGTTCCCAAAAACACAGGCTTCTGCTAACAACAGTACACAGGAATACACTAACATGCACTTGGTCGTTTTTGGCAAATTATCAGGTGGCTAAAAAAGGGAAGAAGGAGAGGCAAGGAAATACAAGTGGTTAACATCAAAGGAAACAATGTCGTGACTAAAACCAGGCTACAATATCATTTGTGAATATTGCAACGCTATTGACAACACTATTTTCTTTTTAAAATCATTGATTGGGAAAGTAAACATTAAATGATATGGATAACCTGTGCAAGAAGGGGGCAGAGTGATGCCTTGAGGTGATTGGACAGACACTGAGGAGGGCCGAGCTCTCTTGCGGTGTTAGTAACATGGTCGAGTGATACAGGCTTTAACACCTCAGTTGGAATTGTGACGACTTTTACTAAAAAAATATCTTTCGATATTATGTATTTTCTTAAAAAAAAAAACAAAAAAACAAAGAGTTTAAAATACAACTTATTCCATTTGATTTAGCTTTTTTTCTCCACTCAAGCTTTACATTTCAATGACACATTCTGGACAACCTATTTGTTTAATGTGATCATGAGACAACCCACCCAGCCATTTACCAGCACTGCATTTTCTTACTCGGACAAACAACGAGGCAACATGACTACAGCGGTGTCGGGTCCTTTGGGAGGGAGGGAGGAAAGGGAGCGAGGAATGGCCGGATGTTCACAAGATGGGAAAGTGATATGTGCGTCAAGGAGGGAGGATCTCTCTCATCTCTTGGCTGTTTCTAGTATGCAATGTCTTTTTTTAACATTTTTAAGTATATATACTCATATCCTCCAAATATATCAAAAAGAATCCCCCTTGAAAAAAGCTGCTTTTTAAAAGTTTAGCTTTTTTGTTTAGAACCTTTTGCAGAGCTCTTTTATTATCATCATTATATATATAACGTTTTTTTTCGTTCACCCAGTAGTTTTTTTTCCCATTTTCAGTCGTGTGCATGAGCAACTTTAATACACACTACACTGCGCTTCACCACATCAGGCAACTTATAATCTCTCAGTAGAAAGTGAGACGCTTGCGGAAGCTGAAATGGGGAAACATTCTCCGAGATTTCATCAAAGGGTAGAAAGGACAACACCAATACTAGACTTTGGCAGAATAAGGTCTGGCAGCAAATGGAATATCAACAATTACACTAAGGGTCAAACCAGTGGCGTACAACGCGCAGAAGTGACAGGCATGCTTGTCAACCCTAATGCAGATACGGGCTCTCGCAGGAGTTGATTTACAGCTGTTCGTCGTTCTGTCCATACACCACACACATGCGCACCACAGTTCTGTCTCCAACACACCATTGGCCATGAAAATATCACAAGAAGGAGAGGGTTGGGAGCACTTGCAGAATCCCAAAACAACAGTCTCTGGTTGCAATCAACCACGTTTTCTAACAGTTCGCTTGCTGTATCCTGGGGTGAGGGTTTCCTTGAGCTAATGGGCAAAAGAGAGGGTTCTTTGTGACGGACAATTTTTTTCATATTATTGCAATCAAAATAAAATAAAATGCACTCTACCCTGCCCAGGACTCAAGCTTCATTTTAGTGTCTTTCCCTCGATCATTATCACATTTTCACGTAGACGATGGCCTTCAGGTCCAACTTTTGACGCACCATCGGACATCGCATTCACTCTGGACCTGGACATTTAGCCCACCTGACTACTTGTACCCTAACTTGAATGCCGAATGTTGGCATGGGTTAGAGTAGTGGCACTATACCAGGAAGCCCTCGGACATGTTGACGGCAAGCTGCGTGCGCATGGTGTGTATACTCTGCAAAATTTTCTTCTGGTGGCCAACTAGGGTAATGCCAAGCTGTGTTAAGTCGTGCTGTGTCAGGCGTGCCACAGCTTCCAGGTCAGTCAAGCCCGTCCGCTGGAAGTTGTCAAGATAGCGGGTCATCTTGATGGAAGCAAGCCAGTCCTCCACAGATGTGAGCTGTGTCATGTCCACCGAGTCAAGACCCAGAGCTGTTGTACACCTGTTGAGAAACACTATTAGTTTCTGGACTAAGATAAACTGCAAGTAAACAAAATGGTTAAAAAAAAATTGTCATACTGTTAAAAAAAACATATTTCAATTTCTAGATTAAAACTAGTAATTATATAACAACAGATGAACCACGAGAAAAGGGAGTGAGAATTCATAGCATTTAATTAATAAGAGTGTTTCCAGGGAAGGGAAAGTGCGCTGCCTACCACTACCCCATGTTTCAGTGAGGGCCCAAGCAGTTGGCCAGACTAAGCTGAGGCTCGACTGCAACAATGGGAAGCAGAGGCAGAATGAGAGGAACACTTGGTCATGCTAAAGGGTACGCAAACAACACTCAGATGCAGAAAACTTACAAGCGATGTAATGAGGAGAATGACTCATGCAGTGAAGAGAAAATTAAAGAAAAAAAGTGAAAACATGATGAATGAAATCAACTGCAGGTGAAGAAGTCCTGGCTGAATGTTTTGTCTGTTGGGAGCAGTGCCCTGAGGTCCAAATTCCCATGAGTGCCACACACTACAACCCCAAATGCGATGCTCCAAGTGTCACAGGTTACAAGAAAAAGTTGGAGTGAAACGTGAAAGCAATGATGTCCTTGCCGCGACACCTGCTGAATGTATTACCTTATAAAACCTCCACCAGGTGACAGACATGTCAGTCAGGCATGACGGCGCTTATTTTAGGCTGCCTGGTTAAAGTTGACCCACTGGGGTCGGATGAGGACGGGTGCATAGTAGGGGTTTTGGGGGGCCGGCCGCCTGGGGAGAGACGATACGACACCATCGTCAGCCACACCACCACACCAGGCCAGGACAAGGGGGGGGGCATGAGGCATTTCAAGGAGCAAAGGACCTCGGGAAACATTATGCAGTGGTGCATTTAAAAAGAGCAAAAGTACCCAGGGGATATGTTGATTGTAAGTAAGAGAGAATAATAATGAAAGACAAACACAAAAAAAAATAGGAATTTACATCATATGCAGGGTTACCTGCACTTGTGGTAAACAACACAAGATTAAAGAATGTGAGTTTAAAACATAAAAAAATGTATGATGTTATAGGACAAAGGCAGAAATAATATCAAAAGAAGAGACAAGTACATGTGATTGTATGAAACAGCTCAGTATAAATAAATGAAATAATAAAATGTAAAGGATGAAGGAGAAAAAAGTAGGGAGAGAAGGAGAGAGGAAGGGAGAGAGAAAAGGAGAGAAAAGGAGAAAAAAAGGAGAGAGAGAGAGAGAGAGAGAGAGAGAGAGAGAGAGAGAGAGAGAGAGAGAGAGAGAGAGAGAGAGAGAGAGAGAGAGAAGAGAGAGAGAGCGGAGAGAGAAGAGAGAGAGAGCGGAGAGAGAAGAGAGAGAGAGCGGAGAGAGAAGAGAGAGAGAGCGGAGAGAGAAGAGAGAGAGAGCGGAGAGAGAAGAGAGAGAGAGCGGAGAGAGAAGAGAGAGAGAGCGGAGAGAGAAGAGAGAGAGAGCGAGAGAGGGAGGGAGGGAGGGAGGGGGGGGAGAGAGAGAGAGAGAGAGAGAGAGAGAGAGAGAGAGAGAGAGAGAGAGAGAGAGAGAGAGACAGAGAGAGAGAGAGAGAGAGAGAGAGAGGGAGGGAGGGAGGGAGGGAGGGAGGGAGGGAGGGAGGGAGGGAGGGAGGGAGAGAGAGAGAGAGAGAGAGAGAGAGAGAGGGAGGGAGGGAGGGAGGGAGGGAGAAGAGAGAGAGAGCGGAGAGAGAAGAGAGAGAGAGCGGAGAGAGAAGAGAGAGCAGAGAGAGAAGAGAGAGAGAGCGGAGAGAGAAGAGAGAGAGAGCGGAGAGAGAAGAGAGAGAGAGCGAAGAGAGAGTGGAGAGAGAAGAGAGAGAGAGAGAGAGAGAGAGAGAGAGAGAGAGAGAGAGAGAGAGAGAGAGAGAGAGAGAGAGAGAGAGAGAGAGAGAGAGAGAGAGAGAGAGAGGGAGGGATTGAGAGAGAGGGCGAGGGAGGGAGGGATTGAGAGAGAGGGTGAGGGAGGGGGGAATGGAGAGAGGGTAGAGGGAGAGGAAGAGGATGTGGTAGAGGGAGAGGAATAGTAGGATTGAGAGAGGGGGTTGGGTGAAGTGAAATAAAAAGAAAGACAGAGGTGAGTACCCAACACTCTCCTTTAACATATAAAAACAGAATATAATGGTATTTCATTAATGGAGCAAGCAAGACTGCACTGTAACATCTGTACAATGGAGACCAGACTTCTTGGTCTCCTAACATGGCAGCAGCATCTTGGTGAATAGTGTGTGGTGTTGCTGACTTTGTCCTGTATTTTGTGTTATCATAATATGCATATACATAAGCATATGCATATACAAATATATCCACAGATGCATATGTATGCATTTATATATAAAAATATATCAATACATACATACTCACACCTCTCCTCAGCCTTCCCAATATCATCTCTCTAATGGAAAAAAAGAATGCCACCAATCAAAGGAAAAGAAAATCTACAGAATGTTGGTAATGTATCCATGGTGACAACTTAATATAGCCAATAGAAGAGATAAAGCAGAGATGAAGAGCTTGAAAAGACAGATTCCTACACCATCACCAACTTAAAAAAGTACTCCATACTATATAAATATACATCATGGCTAAAATTTCCAGTTTATCAGCCTGATAATGCTACTAGGACAAACCCCTATAGAGCTTCAGAGATGCCAGCTTGATGAAGGCCAATCAGCATAATGACACACAACGCCATGCTATTAGCTGCTGACAGGCAGTAAGGCACTCTTACAATGGTCTGCACATGTGTTACAAACAGGACTTGAGACTGGCTGCAGATGGCAAGTTTCTTTCCCAAAGGATTGTTCTTGCAATGTTAAATTTCACACTATGTATCAAGGTCAGAAAGATTAAACAGTAAGAAGGGAGAAAAAGACTTAATGGAAGAGAGTTGACATGAGAACAATCCATTTGAGAGGGAAAAAAATCAATTGGATGCTTGTAAAACTTTTTAAGTTCTTACATGTGACTATATCACAAACCACTCTCAAGTCCATAAAACTGTCTCAAATTTTACTGTGTATTCCATGTGCACCCTATAAATCATCAGGGATCTACTTTCAGCTGGTCCATCTTATATTCAACTTCAGAGATAACATGGTTTTATATTTCATTACATCCTATACAATAAACCCACTATGTATATGTGGTCTCAATATTCTTTTATATCTATAAAACTTTACATTATCCTCACAAACAGCACCATTTTAGTTATCTCTGTACCAAATCCCTATTCTTCAAAGTACCTAATTTGAACAGAAAACCTTGGACACAATGCTTGAGTTCTTATGCCACATACCATCCTGATAGTGGAGCCCTGATCCAGCCTCAACAAAAAGATTTGGTGCTTAAATCTGTACACAGATAGGTTCACATTACTTTACCTGTTCTGAGCTACTTTGTTTAGTGCTTCAGGAGTACGGATGAGTCTGTCCAACGTTCGCACAATTGATGCAAAGTTGGGACGATGATTGCGTTCTTTCTGCCAACAGTCCAGCATCAGCTGGTAGATAGCTTCTGGACACTCCATTGGTGCCGGTAAACGATAACCCTGATGGGATTTGTTTTTAAAATGTGTTAATGAATGATCTTACTTTAATTTTCATCTACACCAAACTCATCATAATAAAAAAAATCAATTTGACAACATTAACAATCTGCTCTTATCTCTAATGAATCAGTTTTAAATTTATTTATTCTTTGTAACACTTTCATTACTTGATTAAAAAGTTAATTAATGCATTTACAAATAATTTGATAATGAAAGAAGCATCAGGGAAATACAATTTCCAACAAATTACCTTCTCAATGCTCTTGATGACATCTTGATTACTCCAGTTCCAGTAAGGTCGTTCTCCATAGCTCATCACCTCCCACATCACAATGCCTAGACTCCATACATCAGAAGCACTGGTGAACTTGCGGAATGCAATAGCCTCTGGGGCAGTCCATCGTACAGGGATCTTGCCACCCTGAAATGGTCCACATCCATTAAATTCTAATTGATCACAATTTCCAGTTTCTTTAGTTATTTTCCAATTGGGAATGATTTATTTATTTTTTTTAAACACACATGACATATGCAAGTCCAACATAAATCTAGAAACCTAATAGCAAACAATGAAAAATTTATAGTAATTTCTTACTTTTTTCATATATTGAGCAAACAAAACTTAGGACAATATAAAGACAACTTAGATATAGAATAGCCACTTACCCTTGTAGTGTATGCGCCTTCTGTGTGACTTTCAATCTCACGGGATAAACCAAAGTCAGCGATCTTGCATATTAGCTGAGCATTCACAAGAACATTGCGAGCAGCCAAGTCACGGTGTACATAATTCATTTCACTTAAGTACTGCATCCCTGAGGCAATACATCGGAGCATCCCAACCAGCTGAAGAACTTGGAATTTACCATCATTCACCTGTATGTGGAGAAATTATTCATAATTCTCAATTTAACATTTAAATGAAATTCTGTTTCTTACACACAGAATGTTATATATATATATATATATATATATATATATATATATATATATATATATATATATATATATATATATATATATATATATATATATATATATAAAATAATAATAATAAATAAATAAACTGAAAAGTTTCTAGGAACTTTACATTGACACTAACCCTGAGGAAGTGGTCTAGTGAGCCATTCTCCATATATTCCGTGATGATCATGACAGGGTTGCTCTTTGTAACAACTCCCTGCAGGAAAATGACATTAGGGTGCTCAAACTGACCCATGATAGACGCCTCTGTCAGGAAGTCCACACGAGCTTTCTCAGAAGACCCAGGCTGAAAGGAAACAAAGATGATCATCATTTTGATATACTGTACTTACCAACCACAATGAGAAAATCATAAAAACAACAATAACAAAAACAGACCCATATATCCTTATTTCAATTTTTTTTTTGGAGTGTCCTTAAACCAAACTGAGTATTCTGGCTTACCAACAAACAAAACCAAGTAAAATTAAAACATTATAACAACCCATGTTCTGTAGCAGTTAAATGCTGACGTAGGCTTACCTTCAGAGTCTTGATTGCAACTGTCATCTCTGGCCGGCTTGGCAGCTGCAGCTTCCCTTTGCAAACATCACCAAATTCTCCACCTCCAATAATGGCCTCAATGGTGATGTAGGAGGCATCTATCTCCCGTGCAAACTCCCTTATGGCTTGATTTGGGTCTTCATATGTGTGGGGGTCTATATACGTCCGGTGGTGCCCTACTTGTGTGAAGAGAGGAGTTGTCACTGCAAGTTTGAAAATCACTTGATTAACAATTGAAGGAGACACATGCAAGACATGGTACAACACAAAGGATACTTTACTTGAGCATTACAACTACTTTTCTTCTTGCAGGTGACATCCATAACAATATAAAAACATTATAAGGGAAAACACCCAGGTGAGAATTCTCATCAAATTTGTTTTATGCTTTATTCTCTTACCTGTAATGCTTTCCAAACCCTCCTAGCTCTAATGACCTTCCCAAAGTTATCATGTAACATTTAAATATACAACACCAGTTGAAAACAAAATTACACATTTGTGCCTCAGATGAAGTGCATCTAACAGAGATAATATTACTACAAGAAAGTGTGCTTCATTAAAAAAGGAACATATTCTCACATTCGGACTTCTCCTTACTTCAAAAAGTGCAAAAAATAAGAATATCAAAATAACCATGTAAATTAGTTTCAAAATACACATGTGAAAACATAACAAATCACATTATAGGAAAATATATTTCCTTGTCAAAACAAACAACTGCAACCTGTTTGTTTTTTGTGTGCTACCATCAAAGAACCAGCTCTAAGTCCACAACTATAAAACTGTTCCTGTACGACCACCGCGGACTTGTTTCCCCGTGTCACACTAGGCCACCACATTCCATGACACTTCAGTTGGAAAGCAACAAGAGCAGAGCTTATGCAGTTGAAAAGTATGAATTTCAACATAAAATCACTTTAATGAATCTCCTTTCTAACTGATGCTGCAATAAAAAGTCTATAAGCTTTATAGAAATGCAATTTAATGTGGTTTGAACTACCCACAAGAGAAGAAAAAGTAAAACAAACAATAATAACAATACAATTAATCAGCATTAGTAAAGCAAGGCACAATAACTGTAATAGAAACGAGGTTATTATAACTACTCCTATTTGTTAGGATTTGGAGGTTAGGGATAAGTTAAGGATAGGTTAAAGAGACATAACACAGGACATACATACTTGGTAATAAGGGCAGAGGCTTTGGGGAGGGAAGTGATAAAATAAAATTTTGGCAAAACAAATATAAAACCATTTAACTAGATAATGCAAAACATCCTTCAAAAACATAAAAACCCAATTTATGCAAGATTTCCCTTGAGACAAATATCGTAATACTTTGACACTTTTTCATTTTCAGTTTCATTTTTCTCTCTTCACTTTTATTTATCTCTCCAATAGCCAGGTGTTAGTAAGGACATCAGGGCTCTAATACTTACTACTTCCGGTGATGTGGGTTTGGACTATGGGTGGGTTTTCCAAAACACCGTGCACTGTAATAGATGGGTAAAAATACGGGAGTTAAACACAAATTACCAACTAGGGTGTCTCACTTCTGTAACGACAACAAACAACAGGGCCAACTTACACTAAATGGGTGCCTGAGTTATCTATACATACATGCCTTTATGGGGATCGGTCTCTGGCTCTTCTTGTAAGTAATTCTGAATGAAAATACTGCTTTCTAGTACTGCAGTTCGGAGGTTTCTATAAGGTATTAATCAGAAAGGAGAGAATTGAAAGTTCTTTTCCAGTTGCTAAAGCTTCTATGGGCTTTCTAGGAAGACTTTCAATTGCTATGTATATAGCTGCTTGTTACTGATTGTTAGGTTATTAGGAAACAATATCTCCCTATTTTGACTGAAGTGCAGGTAAGTAAAATAATTTGTATTATTTACAAAACTAAACTTCCAAAACCAAATGTTAAAAGCTATGATTACCCCCTACCATATACATAAAGGCTATTCATACAAAAAGCACAAACTGCAACATTAAGGCTGGAAGCGTAACATGATGCTTGCAATAAATCTGCAAAATGCTTTTAGGTTGCTGTCACATGGTAGCCAAGACAGGCGGCTTTTCTTCAAGCCCTTTCTCAAAGATAACAGATAAAAAGCAAAGGAGCAAGATTTTGTTTTTCTTTTTTTTTTTTTTTTAATTCTGAGCCAGGGTGGACACAGAGCGTGCATGCAGCCATAATATGGATAGAGAGAGCGAGAGAGGTAGAGAGAGAGAAGCGAGGCTCCTTAAAGGATGCCAGCTGGATGCAGCAGGATGATGATGGTATGCACAGAAGGGCCAGGCATAAGACTTACACTTACTGAAGGTGACAATTAGTCCTGGGAGGGTGATGGCAGGGGAAAGGGAAAGTGGGCCAGTCAGAGTTTTTAGTTCTCCTTAGCCAAGGATATTCACAAATGGGATTTTTTTCTCTTTTCTTTTTGCTTTTGAAACCTTGCAACTATATCTATATATATATATACATATTTCAATATATCAAAAAGCATTTACTATATGAACCAAATGGGATTCTTGTCTGTTTTCTCATTATTGTCATATGAGGTTTCAAATGCATATTGAGGGCAATTCTTTTCCCTCATCAATCTTTGGAGGAAAAAAGTAATCAAAACCCATGTCATGGGGACACTGGGGGGAGGGGGGAAAAATTGCATTTTGGTATCTACTCAAAATACATTAAACCAGTCAGAAAAAAATGACAGTCAGTCTGTACAAACTACAAGGGTAACACTCTGGACTTGTGAAAGCTTCAATTCCTTATGCAGGGTAACAGGGAGTGTCGTGATATATCAGTGTGCAGGCTATGAAAAGTGTCAGGCATTTTGTCTTGCACTCCAATAATGCATGGAGAAACGATGACAGAGACAGAGAGTGTGGGCGAGATGTGGATGGGGAGGGGGAAGGGGGGGAAGGGGGTAGTGAAAGGAGTAGCTCCTGCAATAACACGAGGCAAGTCCTCCAATCATACTTGTACAATAATGAAAGAGTAACAATCTGGGGGTGTAGCTTTCAGTACATGCGATCCAAGCGCATGGGACTCGACGCTGAGCATGAGAGAGGGGAGAGCGCGAGGAGCAGGAGGAGTCTGGTGGGTGCTACACGTACTGTACAGAGGAGATGTGTTTAGGGTCCACGGGGTGAGATGACCAGTTCTAAAGCAGGCAGGGTGTAACGCAGGAAGACACAAGTTGGTGGTATCTGTTAGGTAAGTTGGCTTTTGATTTCCAGTACAGATGTACTTTGGGAAGGGAAATGAAATAAGACCCTTTTTCCTTTCTCAGGTTAACATCAGAACTTTTTTCTCAAGTTAACATGAGAATGTTGAAAGAAACAAACCCTGCAACTGTGAAGTTACAACAATACCACTTAATTTTTTTCGTTTCTCTTTTTTCTTTCTTTCATATGAGTTTGTCAACTGGAGTAAAATCAACCAAAGAGTGCTAAAACAAAATAAATAGAAAAACAAACACCATCAAAGTTCATTCTGAAATTCCTTACAAACAACAGTTCTCAAAGAGATTACTATTCTTACCTTCACCATTGCGATATTCTAGGGTGTCACAATCTGATGGCTGCTTCTTATTACATTCATCTGTCCCTCTGCTGAAACACGTAA